GCTAAAAAGGGGGGGGGGGGGAGCCTGGCACTCTGTTGCTGTGATCCTCCAACACCCTTAACTTGACTGTTGAATTATCTGAGCTCTTTCTATACACTGAACCATAAACTCACCCCAAGTAGAATGATAAACATTTCTGACGATAATTTAAAAAGAGGACAGATGAAATGTATAGGTGCGTATAGGCCACTGATGTGGAGACGAGACAGGCAGCCCCAGAACTGCAGAGTGACTGTTGATGCTTAAAAGAAGCCCTGATAAGTTCAAGGCCAACCGTTCTCTCGAGGGCTTGAAGACCGCAGGCACCTCTGGGCGAAAAGGAGCATGCTTTCTTGAGGAAGACAGGGCCACTCCCAGGCACCCACAGCATTTTCTCACTCTACTGTACATCCTTATTATGCAAGATTTATATAGGACTCCTTTCTTACCCAAAACGACTTCAGTTTTAATCATGTTATTTAACAAGTCTGCTCTCTTTACAATGAATACGACACTCCCCAATGAAACTTCTCAACTCCCTTTGAGCAGCTGAGATTAAGATCAGGTCACCAGTGGAAAGAACCACATTCACAAATCTATCCAGACCTCAGGCACACGAAAACTTGAATCATGCAGGGCCAAAACCATGTCATTCACATAAAAGCTAAATAAAAAGGAGACAAAATGCAGCCCTGACATTCACTACATGGAAACATCTATACAAATAATTGTCATTTCACTACCAGAAGGTTAGAGACTGCAAGGAAAGGTCCACTGTCCACTCAGCCATCCTAGCTCTTCTTTAATCACCTACAGACCCAGCTCTTTCCTTTGCTCCCCAAGTGACCTGAAATCAGGTCTTAAGCTCAGGCAGATTCATGTTAGCGTCATTTCCAGTAAGCAGGGTTTCTCGGACTGGATAAAAATTCAGTCAGATCATCCTCATAAAATGTGGCCTTCCCGCTGGTTCTGTCCAGAAGGATGCCTACGGGCCTTCTACCAAAGTCCTTCCCTGACACCATTTTTAGTTTACGTGTCATTATCTCTCTTCCACTATAGGAGGGCCCTCTAATTACTAATCACTGGATTTCCAATGTCAGATTAGACGAGAATTTACAATCTCTAACCTGCCTGAATAAACGTCCTAGCTCCCCCCACACCCCTCGCCATTCGAAGCTCCGGTGTCCTTCCTATGGATTTTTTTTCTTGCTTAACATTTGGAGACCCCTTGATTCCAGAGACAGGCAACGTGGAAAAGAGACATTACTCTGCTGGGCTTCCTTTCCTAAGCGATGCCCTGGCTGCCCTTCCCCACATGCTTCTTCCATCCTCCACCATCTTTTGTCCAAACAGGGAACTTCTGCTCCTGGTCTCTCTGGTAGGGCACCAGCCAACCATGGACCTCCTCCTCCAACTGAGAGTTACTCACGCTTTGCGCATACGGTGTTCCCTCCGGTTATCAAGCTTCTCTATAATGTCCTATTGTGCTTTTATGGGCAACAAAAGAACCTGAAAAAGTCTTTTCTTCAGGCAGTTCTCTCAATTCCAGGCTTAGCTGAAACCACAGAAAAAATCATGATATGGATTGTAAAATAAAACAGGAATTAAAGGAATATTGGAAAGGCTAACTAGGATTCTTCCTCATCACTTAGGATGTCACTTCCTCGTGAGATAGCCAGTGACCAAATTTTAAATAAATAAATAAAGTAAGTAAGTAAGTAGATTCTCTTTGTCATGGATGAGGAGATAAGCTCTCACACACCGATGAGAGGGAACCACCTTTTCAAAAACACTGGATGCCACCAGGTCACTTGCAAGCAATGCAATTCTGCTTCCGTAATAAAATCTAGCAGAACTGAATCTATGATAGAAAGAACACACAATTTATGTTCCAATTGATGAAGTGGGCCTCTGAGTTTGGGATGTTAATTAACCCTGGTTAACTGCAGGTCCCTGCTAACTTCTAGAGAGGCTCACAATTTCTACTTCTGCTTGTGATTAAGGTCTTGCAGTTTGGATACGTTTTTCACACTTTCCCCTAAACTCTGTTTTTAGAATCATATTCTAAGAGAGAACTTTCTCTTTGCTTTCTCTTTTTCTGTTTTCAAGGCAGGATTCTTATTCCCCGTTTTAGAATCCGTCTCTAGTAGATGAAAAGATTTAGATTCTTTTCTTTATACATTTAGTAATTTTATTCCCTTTTACTTTGTCACCAGGCTTAGCTTTCCTTTCAGCTCTTTGGGACTTAATGTTAACCACCTGGGTATTTCTTTTTAGAGGCTCATCCTTCTGGTAATCAATTCCAGTCCTTGCTATGCTTTCTGGCAAAGTAGTTACCAGTCCATTGCACTCTGATAGGAAAAACATAATATACTCCAAACTCCTATTTACAGGCTTCTTTTCAAACCACTCCTGCAATTTAAACCTGAAAAGTTAAGGAGTCTTTGAGAACAAAAGTAACCCCATTAACTCCTTCAACTCTTCCTTCCGCTGGATGATTCTCCCTTCTCTGCTCCGTGCCACATCCAAACTGGGTGCCAAACTCTCAGGGATTCGTTCTGTAACAGCCTGCAGACCAGTCCGGACCTCGGCCGTGACTGTCTTTTCAGAGCCTCGGAAGAAGCATCTGATAAAATGTCCCGTTGCTTGTAGGCTTACTACGCAGAAGCGGTTAGAGGCATAGGAAAAGAATCAGTGAGACACAACCGCCACGGAAAGGCAGAGCTACCCAACTTCTCTTTTTGTTCAGTCCCTCCAACTAAAAAGTACGTGTTCCACCATGAAATTATGGAGAGCAGATTGAAGCTCAATAGAAACATGACCAGGGAATACCCCTTTGTTGGTCTGGCCAAAGCTTTTAATATTATCTCTGAGACAATCTGGAGAACTGGAGAAGTGCCAGACAGCTGGAGGAGAGCAAATGAGGATCTGGCAAATGACAGTCCGATATCAAGAACGGGAATTATTCTAGAGCACCTTGGTTCAAGAGATTGATCTGAAATCACCTTGAAAATAACAGAATTATTAATTTGTCAAAAGCAACCCTAGCCAAAGTAAATTTTATCTGGTTTTTGGCTTTTTGTTCAAGCAACTATCTTACTGGATTGTAGGAATGTTGTACCTTAACTTCCACAAAGAACCTCATGACATTTGGAACAGCAAATCATGACCGCATGACCTAGCGGACATACAGCTGGCTCAAATGTTGCATTCAGAGAGTGCTCATTGATACTTTCTCATTAAGCCTCATTTAACCAGAGGGAGATACCAAGTGAAGATTCATTCCTGGGCCCTGTACAGTTTAACCTTTTTATTATTTGTAGAGGAAATGCTTGTCAAATCTGCAAATGAAACAAAATAGTTCAAAATTCCTTTGACAGCCCAATGCAAGGAGCTGAAAATGGCAGACTGAAATTTAACAAGACCAACAGACAATTCCTTTCCTAGGTGAAATCAGTAACAGTCACAGATACAGCATGATGGATATTCGACTTGGTAAAGAGTACCTGGAATAGCTGCTTTGTTGGCTAGCAGAGACTGAGTCAGAAGAGGACGAGGCTGCAGAAAAAACCAACTTCTTTGTTGCTTGAGCAGAAATACAGCAGAGGCCAAGACCTCTTCTCTGTCATTCTGGAAAGCAGGTCAGGGCACCGGGGAGCTCAGCGATAGGAAGGCAGATTCCAGCTTCTCGCTTTCACCGAGCCCAGGGTACAAATGCAGCCCTGGCCCGGTCAGACATGCTGTGTGAACATAGCCTCTTTACTCCTTAAGCACACGCAACCGGCATCAAGCTTTATGGAAGCTTCCTTCGGAGTAAGCCATTTCCAAAAATCACCTAAAGGGAGAGGTCTGCAGGTAGAGCCCAACTGTGCACCTTGCCCAGGAGGGCCCGAATTCGAATGAGCTACTACTTCTCTCTCTCTTCATTCCTCCCTTTTTCTGTCCTTGTACTCCCCCAGACGTGACCTTTGCCCCTCAAGCTCCCGCTAGTTTTTCCTTGACCCCGTCCCTGCAATAAGCCCCCTCCCACCGGTACACTCAGTCCAAGAGGGAGCACAGCAACCCCCTTCCCCCTCCACTTGCCCCAGCACTCCCTCCTTGCCTAGGGAATCACAGGGAGAGGGAGACATTAAGAAGAAGCTGTCCACATCTGAACCACCCAACCCAGATGGTTCCGGATGAAATCAGTGCTCACAACGGGGGGCAGCTTTTTGGAGGGGGTGTCACCAAGCTCAAGCCAAGGAAAATCAACTTTTGCTTAATTACCCAGAGGAGGCAAGACCTGAACCCAGGTCCATCTGTTTCACAGAGAAAAGCACCACTGGCCCCACATGGGGGTGGGTGGAATAAACTGCTTGGGGAGTTACCAGGGAAGGTCCTTCCCGCCCAGCTGCAGCTGGAGAGCCTGGCTGGCCCAGGAGACAGCAAGGAAAATGCAGAAATAGCTTGTTTGAGGAAACACAGCAAGATCTTTCTGGATGACTTGGCTGCTAAGAATTTTACCACATGCTTTGCGCAACCTACCTAGGAAGTTGCCTGCAGGATTTTCCTAAGAACAGGCAAGCTGCAGGCCACTGACACAGCTGCACAGGCTGCACCATGGGAGACTCTGCACCACGCTGGATGCAGCCTCAGCAGGAAAAGAGGCTGGGGGGGTTGTAAGAGCCACCCAGCCTTGTTTCAGAATTCCCAGGAAGCCGCTTCCATCCACGAGACAGACCGGTTGTCTGGGTGCCCTGTGACTGGCACCGTGCCACCCTCTGCCGGCCCTCTGCTGTTGGGAGAGATCAGCAATGGCAACCTGGGTGCGTCTGCATGCCTTGCAGCCCAGGTTGCTCCCTGCCATCCGCACACTGGGAATGTCATGCACCGAGGGAGCTTTTAATGCACTCAGTGGATTTTTCTTTTCCTTCCTAGGAGGCTTCGCTTAATTATCCACCAAACTGTTTGCACTGAAAGAGCTCAGCTGCAACCAAGCCCTTCACCACGGTGAGGTTCAAGGCTGCCCCCGGCTGCATTTCAGTGATCAAGACTTACGAGGCTCAAACCGAGCCCCACTGACCCAGAGCAGGGGGCTGCGTTCCCACCCTCTCCGGCCGTGGAGAATCCTGGGTCACGACACACGAAACTGGCCAGGGGGCCAGAGGAGGCAGGGACCTGCTTCTGAGGTGGAAAACAAGGGACGGGAGCCAGATCTGACTCAGGGAGGCTTTGCTGGGCCAGATGGAAGGGTTGTTCGGTCCAGCAGCACTTCTATCCCTTGCAGCCAGGCAGGACCTCCAGGAAGGGGGCTTTGTGGGATCTCTTCCTTCTGCCTCCGCTCCTCCAAGCCCACACTTGTAAAGTGGGGGGGGGCCTTCAGCCAAGCCCTGCTGGGAGCTGGGCTGGGTCCCTCCTCTCTCCAAGGGCAAACCCTCCCAGATGCTAGAGGGGAAACTGGCTTTCGAAGGCACATTCCCCAGGAGAAATGCTTCGTGCCCTGTGATCAGTCGGTCGAGCCAGCCCAAAGGAGTCCAGCTGCTCTCGGGATCAGGAGCACCATGGGGGAACGAGCCCCCTCTTTTGCCCCTCCTCTGCCTCAACCCTCTTGCCAGTGACTGCAAGGCGTGGCGTCCTGCTTTTAGCCCACTCTCCAGGCAAGGTCCAGGTGTCATTCCTGTGCTGGGGGGGGAGCAGGCACAAGGGCCTCTACCGCAGGTATTCCTTCCACGGCTGTCCTCCTCAAGAGTCAGGGTCACTTCGGAGACACCCCAGATACTAGAACGACTTGTTAAATCCTTCAGAACTAAAACATCTACTATTAGCTTTTA